TGCACCAAGGCGAAACAGACCATTTAAATCAATTAGGACTGCTCTGATGGAAAATGAGGGCCTGGCAATGACAAAGTACTCAGACATTAGTAATCACAAATGATTTAACATCCACATTAAATGCCTGACTGGGTAGTAAGGCTTATTTTCCTAAGTCAGCAGGGTGCCCGTAACGAAGTTATCTCTGGGTATCCCAAAGTAGACTTTGGCAACGATTTCACACACAATTGGTGGAAATTAATTTGACACCTCTCTTCAACCTAACTCCTCCAGCCTGCTCGTTTCGGGCTCTCCTAAGCGGCTGTTGGCCTCCTCACCTCCTCCCTGCTTTCCTTAAAAAGATCATTAAATGCTTCGTCACGAGCCCAGCCGTGGGGCCCTGCTCCTTCTGTTTTGGGTTTCTCCTCCCCTGGCGGGACTGGAGGCTTTCAGAATACACAGTTTCTCGGCTTAGGCTGGCGGGTCGAGAAGATCATTTCCAAGGGGTGAGCAAAGTCTGAGATCCCCGGCCCCTCGACTCTTCCTGGCCTGCTCTCCGCGGTCTGCCAGGCTAAGACTGAAAACACGAGTTCCCAGAAAGGCTCAAGGCGGGTGGCGGGCGCTGGGAGGGAGGCCGCCAGCCCGCGGCGCCCGCTGCACTTTGGCAACGAGGCTTGCGTAATTCTAGTCAGCAGGGGGCGCTGTCTCTCCTAGTCGCCGCCTTACGAAGCCGCCTTTGAAGTGGGTTTTCTCCGCACAGCGATGGAGGTGAAGAGACGTGAGTTTCCCGGGGTTGCGGGGGCCACTTCTAGAAATGCCAGGAAATAGTTCAATGATTTCCCTTCTGTGTGAAAACTCCAATCTATCTTGATTTGTGCCATCCATCTGTAATGCTTTTCATAGGTCACTTTAGAAAACATAATAAAATCAAACGGTACTCGACATACACCCCAAATTTCCTCTTGGAAGTTATGAACGTTGCACTTACAAATACAGAGGTGCTTTTCCAAAAGAAACAATAACTTCCTTGAAAGGAACCTGTGGTCATTATTTAAAGCCAGCCCCACGTGTGTATTATTAATAATTATTGACAACAGAAATACAGAATTTTCTATGTTGTTAAGCCTTTCAACAATATAAGAGGGAGATTCCAGTTCTATAGAATCATATGATTCAGAAAGTTTTGTTTTTATATTCTTCTAGGTATTTTATATTCTTAGTGATCATTCATAATTCTGAAGTAAAATAAATCAGAATGACAGACAACTGTGTGTTGGAGAAACAGAAAGGTTTTACTTTCAAGACATGCCTAGTTTGGTGGGTAGCAAGTTTAAAATCAACAGACTCTCAGCCCCACACTCATAAATTTGTTCTGTTAAAAATATTTTGTTTTAAAACCACTGTGTATTTTGCTCAAGTGAAATTTCCCATAGGAATAATTCTGTAACTGGTAGATAGGATCCTGGCTAGTTGATACTATGCCACTTTAAGTACTATTAAACCAGTAATGTATCTAAAAATTTGAATTTCTCCTTGAGATCTATCACAACACTTAAAGGTCCTTTCACTTTTCCTACCCCCTTCTGTTGCTAGTCTCCAAAGATACACCCTGCCACCCCATATTGGGCCATGCCTTCTGGAATTCATGCCCTTGTGCAGTAGCTTCTCATATTAAATCTGACCCGGTCCCATAGGAACAAATAGCATGTGGCAGAAGTGATGCAGTGTGATTTCGAGCCAGATCAGAAGGGCCGTTGCAGCTTCTGCCTTGGCCTTTTAAAACACTCACGCTGGGGTGTGTGTGGGGGAGGCAGGGGGGTGCCAGCCAACAGGTAAGAAGTCCACTACTCACACTGTGAGGAAATCTGATTTAGCCAAGGAGAGAGAGAGAAAGAGAGAGAGAGAGAGCGAGAGAGAGAGAGCGGAGAGCACATGCTTGGACGCTTGGAGAGAGAGAGGCCTTATCAGCCGCTAACTCTGCCACCTATCCCAAGTGAGAGGTCACATGTGGTGAGTGAAGGAACTGTCCTGGATGTCTGGTCCAGTTAACTTTCAGATAATTTCAGCCCCAGTTCCACCTGACTGTAACTGCATGAGAGACCCTAATCAATAACGTCCCTCTGAGCTCAGTCAATTTGTAGAAACACATGGGCTAACAGACCATTGCTGTTCAGGCATTATGTTTAGGTATGATTTATTACACAGCAATAGATAACAGACATTGTCCTGTCTCCTATCTTTTTTGCTATACTATTTTTTCTTGTGTATTGTTTCTGCTACAATTTGAATCTAGCTATTCTTGTGCACTAGCCTGGGAATCTGAACACCAGTTAGAACATTGAGGCTGGGATTGTATGTCAAAGAGATTGGCAAGGAGTGTAGATGGAGGACACTGCAACATAATTAGACGTTTCTATTTAGACTTAGGAAACAGTCATGAGGGAATAAATGATGCTCTTCCTTGGAGCTTCTCAGCAGCTAGCATTGGAGGATACATCTGTCAGCAAGTTCCCAAGTTAGTTATTCAAAGTACCTCTATTACAATTTCTATCTCAATCGTGTATCGTTTTAATTAAAGTTTCTTTTTCAAAATTCTCAAACAACAGATATATAATTGTATTTATAGTATGAAAGACAATTAGAATATTTTTCAAGATAAAAATAGTATCTTTGAAATTGCTCACATTTTTAGAGAATAATGGTGCTGATGATCAGTGCTGTATTGTAGTTTCTGTTCCATTAGCTTCTCCTTTCCAACTAGGCAAATAAATAAGCTTTATAGTATTTGTTTTTCACCTTTTACTGCCACCATTTATTCAAATACAGAGTCGCCATTGTAACTCATACTTCAATTCTGGGTAGGCCATCATGTATTTGCTTTGTTACAGTGATAAGATTTTTTTTTTTTTTTTTGAGACAGAATCTTGCTTTGTCGCCCAGGCTGGAATGCAGTGGTGTGATCTTGGCTCACTGCAAACTCCACCTCCCAGGTTCAAGAGATTTTCCTGCCTCAGCCTCCCAAGTAGCTGGGATTACAGGAGATCACCACCCTGCCGGGCTAATTTTTTGTATATTTAGTAGAGGCGAAGTTTCACCATGTTGGCTAGGCTGATCTTGAACCCCTAACCTGTGATCCACCCACCTTGGCCTCCCAAATTGTTGGGATTATAGGCATAAACCACTGCACCCAGCCAAGGTTTTTTTTTTAAATACAACTTGTGCTGGTCCTTTTGCAAAGCAAGAATATTCAAGAGTTTATAGATATAAAAATATTTTCAGCTCTTATTAAAGAAAAATCATCTTTCTGTTGTCCATTGTAACCTCATCTTTCAGATGGAAACACAGATAAAATCAAAGATATTCCCAAAGAAGAGGCTTCATAATGTTCAAGTAGATAGCTGGTATGGATTTTTTTTTTTTCCTTTTTAAGACTCAGTCTCGCTTTTGTCTGCCAGGCTGGAGTGCAATGGGGTGATCTTGGCTCACTGCAGCCTCTGTCTCCTGGGTTCAAGTGATTCTCCTGCCTCAGCCTCCTGAGTAGCTGGGATTATAGGCACCTGCCACCATGCCTGGCTAATTTTTGTATTTTTAGTACAGGCAGGGTTTTACCATGTTGGCCAGGCTGGTCTCGAACTCCTGACCTCAGGTGATCTGCCCCCCCAAGCCTAAGTGCTAGGATTACAGGCATGAGCCACCGTGCCCAGCAGCTTGTATGGATTTTAATTGTCTTCTCCTAAATCTTCCTTTATGCAGGGAAAGCCTGCATGTTTGAGTGTTTACATTTTGGTTGGCATCCAATAGTGCCAAAATGGACTTTGGCATTGGGCAGACTTGGTTAATTTTAGGTGCTTTGTTGTTGTTGTTGAGATAGAGTCTAGCTCTTGTTGCCCAGGCTGGATTGCAATGGCACGATCTTGGCTCACTGTAACTTCTGCCTCTCGGGTTCAAGAGATTCTCCTGCCTCAGTGTCCCAATTAGCTGGGATTATAGGTGCTCGCCACTGGGCCTGGCTAATTTTTTGTATTTTTAGTAGAGACAGGGTTTCACCATGTTGGCCAGGCTGGTCTTGACCTCGGTGATCCAATCACCTTGGCCTCCCAAAGTGCTGGGATTACAGGCATGAGCCACCGTGGCTGGTTCTAGGCTCTTATTATTTAGTGGGTGACCTTGAGTATGGGACCTAACTTTTATAGTCTCAAATTTCTCATATGTAAAATAGGGATTAATAGAACCTGAAATAGAGAGGTTTTGATGATTACGTGAGATACTGGACCTAAAATGCACACAGCAAATGCATTATAAATGTATATGTGAATTATATACATACATGAAAAGCAACTCGTCACTTAGGAGCTTTCTGGGGTAGACCGCTATTGTATTTTCACTTATTGATCACTACTTTGGAAGGGTTAAAAGTATACCTTTTAAAATCTCAATTGGCAGGCTCTTAAGATGACTTGAATTTATCCCATTGTACCTGAAGAATCTGGGGTATTCTTCCTCATCTAGTTCTCCAGTTTTTCTCCCCTCAAATTCATCTATCATAAGTATGACTTTATGAACACCACTTCTCTGCTCAGAAATTTTCAGCGGCAGCTTGGAGATGACCTCAGACAAGCGCAAACCTCTTAGCTTCACATTCAAAAGGCCTTCTACAATTGGGTCTACCCTTCTAGATTTATCACATTCCCTCTGCTCTTGAGGTTGATTGCATGCTCTTCCCAATACATAGTCGCATTTTCTTCCCCGGACTTCCCTCCCATTGGTCACTCTATCTGAAATGTGTATCCTCTTCTATTTTTACCTCCCCAAACTCTACCCATTCATCAAATAAGACCTCATTCAACAATCGCTTCCTCCACAAAGCCTTCTGTTACCTCTCCTTGTGGAATCATCTTTTTCCTCTTAAGTGTCTAGAACATGTTGTTTACACTTCAGTTATGCAACAATCACAACCTGCCCTTCTTATTAATATGCAAGCTTTATGAAAGCAGGGATTTTTTTTTAATGAGATAATTCAGTCCCCGTAGAGACTGCCAAAAAGTGCCAATGCTGACTGTATTTCAAGTCATCATGGTGGGGTATCGGGAAGTTTTCAATTACCAGTGATTGTGCCTCGGATAAACCTCATTGGCTATGATACTGCCACTGCGCAATGCTAACAGGGATCATTTTTTATCCAATGTTTGTTTGCCACAGTAGTTAGTACAGTTAAATCAGTGCTTCCCAAACTATTTTTGAAAAAGAACCAGCTTTTTTTGAAAAAGCAATCTGTTGCAGATGAGGATGTTTGTAAAACACAATCAAAGGCTGGGCACGGTGGCTCACACCTGTAATCCCAGCACTTTGGGAGGCTGAGGCGGGCAGATCAAGAGGTCAGGAGATCGAGACCATCCTGGCCAACATGGTGAAACCACATCTATAGTAAAATACAAAACAAAAATAAAAAAATAAAAATAGCTGGGTGTAGTGGTGCACACCTCTAGTCGCAGCTACTTGGGAGGCTTAGGCAGGAGAATCGCTTGAACCTGGGAGGTGGAGGTTGCAGTGAGCCAAGATCACACCACTGCACTCCAGCCTGGGCAACAGAGCAAGTCTCTGTCTCAATAAATAAATAAATAAAATCGAATGATTAGAAAAATGAAATAAAAATACAGGCTAAAATACAAGCCCAAATGTCTCTCTTTTTTTTTTTCTTTTTCTTTTTTAAGATGGAGTTTTGCTCTTGCTGCCCATGCTGGAATGCAATGGCATGATCTTGGCTCCCTGCAACCTCTGCCTCCCAGGTTCAAGCAATTTTTCTGCCTCAGTCTCCCCAGTAGCTGGGATTACAGGTGTGCACCACTACACCCTGCTTATTTTTGAATTTTTAGTAGAGATGGGTTTCTCCATGTTGGCCAGGATGGTCTCGATCTCCTGACCTCAGGTGATCCACCCACCTCCGCCTCCCAAAGTGCTGGGGGATTATAGGCATGAACCACCACGCTTGGCCTCCAAATCTCTCTTTATGATAGTCAACAGACATACATTTATTCTCTCAAAGTCCTGCAAATATGTCTAAACACTTAGTTTCCATACTCTTCTTGTTTCCCACTGGTAAAAATAGCTCAAGGATGGGCCCAGGTTGATGGGCCACATATTGAGTAACCTGTCATTACCTGCTGCTATATAAACATGTTGGTTAAATAAGTTAATCCATGGACCAGAGAAATGTTTTACAACAGTTTTTTTCAGTTATTGTTTGTTTCAGCGTCCATTTTTTAAGAATATAGGACAATCAATTAATACACTATCATGAAATTTGCTCACATTGTTTGCTGATTTGTGAATCTTATTTGGATTCATTTAAATAAACTGAAAAATCCAAATATGATTTTCCTTTTGAAAGTGAAAAGCCTGAGCAGGGCTGGGTGGGGTAGCTCATGCCTATATAATCCCAGCACTTTGGGGGGCCAGGGTGGACAGATCACTTGAGCTCAGGAGTTCGACACTACCCTGGCCAACATGAAACCCCATCTCTACTAAAAATACAAAAATTATCTGGCTGTGGTGGCACACACCTGTAGCCCCAGCTACACAGGAGGCTGAAGTAGGAAGATCACCTGAGCCCGGGAGGCAGAGGTTGCCGTGAGTCGAGATCACACCCTTGCATTCCAGTCTAGATGACACAGTGAGTCCTATCTCAAAAACAAAAACAAAAAATACCCCTGCAAAGTTGATGGGAAACTTGCTACATGCCAGAAGTTCAGAGAGTTTCCCTATTGAATTAAAAAATGAAAACTCACTACTAGGCTTATTGTTCCTCCTTAAACAGTGTTATTTTTTTTTAATTCAAAGTCAAAGAGATATATATCATACAATTTACATGTTTAGTCATAAATTACACTGAAAGTTTGTTAAATCACATCTAGGAAATTTAAGTAAACTCAAGTAAGTAAATTAACTGCTGAGTTAATTAAGTTGTTAATTAGTTAATTAACTGTTACAGTTTTAAGTGATGCCATTAACAAACTGACACAAATTTCAGTTTTACTTTCCTATATTTAGAAGACCTTCATGGAACTCATGGAACTGTAAAAGCTGGAGGGCTAATTCTTTTCACAGAGTTTCCAACCAAATACTAATATATTTATAATAAGATTTTTATTATTTAGGGTTGAAGGCACTTTAAAGCAATTTGTCTAATTGCCTTTTTTTTCTTTTTTTGGGGGGCGGTTCTTAAATTAGGGGGAACTCTTCATTTACTTTTAAAAATATAAAATACAATATGTTAGTGAAATAAACATGCAAATATTCATAATGAATAGCCAGTTTGATATATGTCATTACTTTTGTTTGGGTATTGTTTTTAGCCATGAAGGTTTTGGAAAGGTAGACTGTAGTTATTTGCTATGGAACAAACCATCTTAAAACCTGATGGCTTGAAATAATAGCAGTCATTTATTTGGTCTATGGATCTGCAAGTCGGGCAGGCTGGGTGGAGACAGCTCATGTGTCCTGATACTGATTGGGTGATCCACTTCTAAGATGGTTCCCCACGTGGCTTTTGGCCTGGAGCTCAGCCAGGGCTGTCTCCTGGGGCCTCGTTTCCTCTCCTCATGGTTCTTTCTGTGGGCTGCTTGGGCTTCATCATAGCGTAGCAGCAGGCTTCTAAGAGTGAGTTCTTAGGAGGTCTGGACAGAAGCTGACAGGCTTCTTAGGACCTAGCCTCAGAACTCACAGAACATCACAACTGCAATGTTATATTGGTGAGGCAAGTCACCAAAACCTGCCAAGATTCCAGGGAAAGGAAATGACTCCACTTCCCAGTGGGAGAAGTAACAAAGATCTAAAGATGTAATTCAGTTTGGTAAGTTAAGGAAGACTTGTAAACTCACATAGTACGCTCTGATACTGAAAAAGACAGAGGTGTTTTGTTTGTTTGTTTGTTTTGAGACACAGTTTTGCTCTTGTCGTCTAGACTAGAGTGCAATGACGCAATCTCAGCTTACTGCAATCTCTGCCTTCCGGATTCAAGCAATTCTCCTGCCTCAGCTTCCTGAGTAGCTGGAGTTATAGGCACTTGCCACCACGCCCAGCTAAGTTTTTGTATTTTTAGTAGCGATGCGGTTTCACCATGTTGGCCAGGCTGGTCTCGAACTCCTGGCCTCAAGTGGTCTGCCTGCCTCGGCCTCCCAAAATTCTGGGATTATAAGCATGAGCCACTGCGCCTGACCAAGAGGGAGATTTATAATGTTTTCTTACTTAAGGCTGCCCCACAGTGAGCTGAATGTTAAGTTAATCCCACCAGCAGATAATGTAGTAGAAGACAAACTGGATTTGGACAGAAGATCTGGTTTTACACTGAGGTTCCATTGTACTATTTGAGAAGCTTTTGAGAAAGCTATTGACCTTTCTAAGATTCTGTTTCCTCATGTTTAAAATGATGATAATACCTCACTTATTTCCGTACATCCCAGAGTCTTTGAGTTCAAATAAATTACTGTATGGAAAAGTATACTTTAGATTAAAAAATAAATTATCTATGTATGACTAGGTTTTCTTACCACTGGAATATACCCATTGTACTCTCTTCCTCATACTTGCCTGCTGTTACATTTATGTTCCATCTTTGTTCGTGTACATAAGTAACCCCAAATTCTTGAGCTACTGTTTTCACCTAGAACTCTGGCCTCAGACAGTTTGCTTATACGTTGGGAGGATGGAACCAGGAATGTAGGAGAAAGGGCATTTCCCCACTGCTGGAAGTTTAGACTTTGAGAGGAGGTAGATTTGGGGAGGTATACGTACATAAGCTGTGTTAAGATGGTACCTGTGAAAGACAGGTGGATCATGAGGTCAAGAGATCAAGACCATCCTGGTCAACATGGTGAAACTCTGTCTGTACTAAAAATAGAAAAAATTAGCTGGGCAGGGTGGTGCATGCCTGTAATCCCAGCTACTCAGGAGGCTGAGGCAGGAGAATTGCCTGAACCCAGGAGGCAGAGGTTGCAGTGAGCCGAGATCACGCCGTTGCACTCCAGCCTGGGTAACGAGCGAAACTCCGTCTCAAAAAAAAAAACAAGAAAGAAAAGAAAGAAAGAAAGCTAATGGTTGCACATAATATAGGAGACATAGGCCAGGCGTGCTGGCTCACGCCTGTCATCCCAGCACTTTGGGAGGCTGAGGCAGGTGGATCACGAGTTCAGGAATTTGAGACCAGCCTAGCCAACATGGTGAAACCCCATCTCTACTAAAAATACAAAAAAAATTTAGCCAGGTGTGGTGGCAGGTGCTTGTAATCCCAGCTACTTGGGAGGCTGAGGCAGGAGAATTGCTTGAACCAGGAAGGTAGAGGTTGCAGTGAGCCAAGATGACCCCATTGCACTACAGCCTGCCCAACAGACCAAGACTGTCACGAGAGAAAGAAAGAAAGGAAACTGGAGGCAAGTTACCCTGGGCTGTCAGTCAGCTTCATTTTGCCCCCTGCCTAGTGCATCTTGTGCTCTCGGGTGCAACCGATTGGCAAAAATTGATAATATGATCTTGACTGATATTTCTAAAAGCTCACAACTACGGAGTTGAGTGTGGACAGTATGTACTCTGTAGAAGTGGAATTCTACTCATGGTAGCAACACCCATGTGAGCTTGAGCTGGCATCTGATACTAATGTACTGGGTAGTGTGTGGCTTGAAGTGGAGAAAGGGAGTGAATAAAACAAGTGTTCCACATGCGTCTAAAACATAGTTGTAACAACTGAACAGCACTTTTCCAAAGCAAAAGATCTTTGCAATATACATAAATTACCGGTTATCTGGACCAGTCAGAAAATAAGGCTAGGATTTTTTTTTTTTTTTTGGACAGGGGTTCCCTCTGTCACCCAGGCTGAAGTATGGTGATCATGTCTCACTGCAGTCTTGACTTCCCAGGCTCAGGTGATTCTCCTGCCTCAGACTCCTTAGTAGCTGGGACCACGCACCACCATGTCCAGCAAATTTTTGTAGAGATGGGATTTTGCCATGTTACCTAGACTGGTCTTGAATTCCTAGGCTCAAGCGATCCTCCTGCCTCGCCCTCCCAAAGTACTAGGCACTGTGCCTGGCCAGATTACATTTTGCGGGAAACACTGTTGATTGTCTACTCTACTCAATATCCAGTCTTTCCCTCTTTCTCAGTAACAA